ATAGTTAGTCAGCACAAAAGTCATTGTTATTGTATATACATCCGTAACTGAGTGCAACGACGTTTAATTCAAATTATAAAAGCTATCATTGGGGCTTCGATTTTGGTACATATGTTTTATTCTAATTTATTGCCATTAAGTGATACTTTCCTAATCCATTTTTATCTGTTTTCTTTTATTTTTATTTTTTTATTCCTATTATTTTATTTTATTTATTCTATCAACTTCATTTATTTATTGCTTTATCTTCTTGCTTCGAATTTTGTTTTACTACATTTAGTTTCCCATTTTCTGCTATTTACTTTATTGCTTTTATTTGATTAACCAGTATTATTTATTTATCTGTTGCGTTATCTTTTATTTATTTGCTAAGCGTTTCTACCGATCCCAACCACTCACTTAAGATCGTACTCACAATTCGGGCAATTTTAATAAAACTTGCCGGTTTTGCAACGTCACAGTGATGGATACCGCTGGCGAAGGGGCCAATGTTGTTAACTTTAGAGTACCGCCAATTGGAGATATTTAAACATCCCCTATTGCTGTTCCGATAACCCGCAAGTTTGAAAAAATTTTCGAGCGTGTGTTGTGTAAAATATGTGAAATTGCATCATCGGATTTCGTCTGCTAGATAGGCCTGCGGTGTGTGAAAACTTTCCGACGCCAATGCCTATATACAAGGGAGATAAAGAGGTACCACACAAGGAATCACGAAATCATAGAAGGTTTAGGTTAGATTTGTCCACCATTGGAATACGCCCAACAGTATCAACGTTCAGAGTAAGTCTCTTCTCGTCGCGGATATTCTCCTCCACGCGCGTAACTCCACAATCCCGATGGCCACGTCACTAACAACTATGGCTACACTGACAATGTCGACTGCGAGAGCGTTAACGTGCTGCAGCTGCTGCAAACGCGAGCCGTGGAACTATGTCAGTATTCAGGCTCCGCAACGCATCACACCAAGCTGCGGGAATCAGCTCGTACTACTTTAGATTCCACTAACCCCACTACTGAGGGGGTCCCGACTTCAGCGACATGGAATCGAACACCACGCTGGAAAGTAGCACAAGGACAATTAAAAGATGTTTCCCGACAACTCGAGAACCACGCAGGGAAATGGCTGATCAACGGGATATAGTATTGCAAAACCCCTTAACTGAAAGTCCAGAGCCAGTAAGAGCGGTTGGCAAATCGGCATTGTCGCAATATCATCTGCGCCTGTTCCTACGCGAAGACTACCTTGCAGGCTCTGCATCAATAACAACGCAGAAATCGCGACCGTCACTATTTCGCCTGTAGCCGTACATATCAACTTCAGATTGCTAGGGTGAGTGTACCATTTCTCGCTCGCTTCCCTTTGTCTCTCATCACCATGTCTGAGGAGGCCTTCAACAGCAGGACTCATTCCAGTTTCAGCCACGCAGTTCACATCGAATTTGAGAAAAACAACGGACAGCCAATGACCGTCGGCCAGCCCTGAAAGGTTCAGTGAAACAGGAGCAACAACGACATCGAACGCGGAAATAAGCAAGCCTGACCGCGAAAAGCCTGACCCTGCGAAGGTGAGTTGTTCCAATTACCAGAAGACACTCAGAGGGCCCCTCTAAATATGTGCTTCATACAATACTTCCGTGGTCGTCATATTATCGATGGCCACTGTCACAGTAATGGTACGTGGCAGTCCGATCACATCGTCTGTCGTTTACGGTTCTACCGCGCGACTGATTAGAAGAGCATCGATCCACCCGCGTTCAGACGTTGACAAAATCCACCATCAAGTTGTAACATCATCAATCGCAGCAGGATTGCTAGGTGCGAAAATGCAAAGAAGCAAAGTCATAGAAAACGAGCACATTATCCAAGAAATGCCCTGGAACCAGTCTGCACCGTCATTGGACGAGGTTATAAATCGCCGAGGGAGCGCGTCGACAGACGGTGAGTACTCTAATCTAGAAGCGAACACAGGAAGCAGTACTGGCTACGAGGTGGACTGTGCGGAAGCAACTGCAACAACAATAGTAACTACGGCTACAGTAGTACTATTAGTAGCAGCCAACTTTGCGCGATCTCGGGCGCAGCGAGCGCAAAAACTTCTACCTACATATTACGACTGTAGTTGAAATTGCGGAACGTGTCTGAACGGTCATCAGTTAAAGTCATGACACTGGCGACTGTTACAGTGGAATCGAACGCCGTCCAGACATGTCGGCTGGTGTTGTGCGAGACGAATAGAAGACCTCACCCGGGACGAGGTTCCAATTTGAGAAAGTCCTTCCTCTGAAGAATTGACGAGAAAGGCATCTCGTATAGAGAAATTGTATCATACCAAACAGTAGAGCGCGAAGTCGAAGAGGCATTGAAAAAGGTTTTCTTCATTTGCAAATTGCCTAAGGACATTATCCAAGATTTCGTATTATCGACCTTTGCGGGAATAGAAAGTAATTGTCCCTTCCCTCTGTCTTAAATCCCAATAGATTCGTTCCATGATGCTGATAGCTCAGAAGGAAGAAGAACTTACTTCCTAGGTATTACCTGTAGATGAGATGTAACCCGAAATCTATAGTTTTAGTCGCTTTGCATACTTTAGAACATAACAATCTCGCAATGAAGGACTCATCTCTCGGATCCGACGGCGTAAACTAGGAGACCCCACGAAAGAGAACACGGAAGCAGTGGTATTACCTGCTTTATATAATGCTTATTGCACACTCCGTCTGAGGCACAATTGGAAGGACAGCCTTAGTGCGCCGGTGCACAAGAAGAGTACTCGCAAAGATCTGGGCAACTGAAGACATTGCGATGAGCAATGTCAACGTC